GAAGGAAGTAGTGGAGAAGTATTACGCTCAGGTTAGCAGATGCGTCGGAATGCGCTAAGGCTAACACTTCATCCTTTTTCTCGGGCATTCATTCGGGTCAGAGATTTATGTAGTTTTGTCTGAGGATAACTGCGCAACGTCAACTTTAAAGCTAACACAGCTTTTCTCAAAGAATGGAACGTGAAGGAAGCTCCAAGAATTCATCTAGTGTTCTCCCTATTCCCTCGGTCTTCCCTATCCGAAAGCGCACTTTTTCAAAAATCACGATAAAATTTCGGAAAGCATCTGGAAAATCACCGCCTTCACCAAAGACTCCGAGATGAAAATAGAGGGGCAACGAATTTGCCTCACTATTTTTTCCGACGATCACCATTTTTGATGCGGTGCCATCCATTTTAGAATTTTCGTAACTAACTTGTTATCTTCCAGTACCACTTATTGGTACGCAACATCTTTTACAACAGTTATAAAAAAATGTGTGTATGTGTTTTTTTTTTCAAATTCTCAGTCTTTCTAACAGGTATTCAAAGAACGTTCAACGCGGGATGCGTTTGTCTTGGATCCTGTTAAAATGGCTGTTTCGCCGAATGGAAAATATGTCTTTATAATTGGTAGTCGAAATGTAAGCCTTGCCGTTGAAAAAAAAAAATTAACTTGCTATTGTCGTCAAGCGTAGCAGAATAGGGAGTAGTGTTTTTGTAGTACAGCAAGGTTGAACCCCGCTAGTGAGAACTGCAACCATTACTTTCAGTGAGGATAGATTTCCTCTAAATCTTGATTCTGTACTAAGAAATATTCAAGGATATTTCAAAATTTCCGACGTCATGTATTTAGTTAAAAAAAAAGCAACGAACTAAAATTTTGGACTCTGTAGAATTAAAAGATTTGGAGAAGTTCGGGCTTTAAAGTTGTTCGGGTCTAAAAATTGAAGAAATCCCTGATCTTGAATTTCTGAAATAATCTTACTTCACAGAACCAAAAAAAAAAAAATCCGCTAAATCTGCAATGAATTTCTGCCTGGCATTTTGCTTCTTGAAAACTTTTTTCACTAAACTTTTTGCTACTTCATCAAACAGATAGTGGTAACGTCAGAGCGCAGTCCGCAAGACTGGGTCACTTCGTTTCGAATCGACATATACGATGTGGAATTGGAAGGACGTCGAATGATATCAGTGAAAGATCTGTTTGACTTTGGCGACTATCTTGTCCACGTTTACGCCCTGGATGAGGAGACGCTTATCCTACTTGACTACAATCATCGACAGACAACATTGCGGCAACGCATTATCAAAGTTGACTTCATGAACTTCTTCTTCACTCAGAAGTTAAAATCAAATTTCCTCCTCCTCTCTTTCTCCCTCCTGAATCTGTTCTCTATGAGAGGCGGAGGCAATCGATTTTGCTGCTAAATTTTACAGAAACCAACACTTTTGAAGAAACAAGCATAAGGGTAGTCAGAAGGCCGACTGCTAGTCAAAGCAACTGCAAAAGATGCTTAGTTGCAAGTCTGAAATGCATAACTATCACACGCAGCTACTCGAAGTAAATACCCTCGGAGAAAAAAAAAATTCAGCCCAAATTTTCGGTAGCCGATGATCCACTTATACTCTTGAACCATTGATAATCAACATTAACAGATTGATGGAAACGCAGCAATTTCGCCATTTCATCGCACCTATCGTTATGGAACCTCGCAGACCTCATTTATTAAAGCAGCGGTTGGTGATAAAATATGCGCTATCATCAGCAGGCAGCGTTTTGGTAACTGGCATTTTAATTCATCAAATATTATGGACAAAACAGTGATTCGCCAGACACTTCTTGAGCTGGGAGCAATACGCGCTCTTCATCCACGTGTTTTTAACTGCAAGGATTTAAGTCCAATTTCCCTCGCATTGGTCGAAAACTTACTTGAAAGCATAGGTGCAGACGTATCATCAAGAAAAAAAAGTGCTGAATGTGTCTTTGTTGAAGGTGGTCAGTTCGTCGTACTGGTCATTCCGAAGAATCCTGCTGATTTCACAATGGGATATGATTTATCCAGATCCGTCAATGATGTCAGTTATTACAGAATTTTTGCAACTATTTAACAAATTTCATTTTAAACTCGTAAAATAATGCAAATGAGCTAAAAAGCAAGGGGCGACAAACAAATTTTCATTTCTTTCTTATAAACTCTGGTAAAAAAAAAGTAACCCTATATATGCCAACAGTTTGTTTGTAAGCAGTCCACGAATGAGGTGTTCATCGACGATCCTATCAGCAGCGAGTAGTTGTTTTTGGCGATTGCCACTCTCGGAGTACTTCTGAATGCCTCAGCCTTTTACAGAGAGTAAATACTGAGGAATACATAAAATGAAGATGTGTCAGCACTGAAAAAGGAATGAAGGTGGCTGATTCCCATTTCCCTACCCCTGGCTGCATTAGGCTCCAGTGCCATATGAATACGTCCACCTTCTGACTCCAGTTCCCCCTTTGTGACACAAAAATGATATGTTCAGAAATGATAATAGTTCGATATTATTTTCCCATATTATGCTGTGGTAGCAGCGTGGTATTGCTATCCAGTAGTTTTATGTCGGATCACACTCCCCTCAGTTCCATTTATCTTATTAAATCATTGGCGACGCGCACCGGCTAGCCCGTGTGATCACGCGTTTTTGCAGTATTTCGTGTTGTAATAAGATCACTCGAAATTCCGCTAGCTAGAAATCTCTTGTACATACTGTCCTCGAATTTCGGGAAGTTAATTATCCACGCTGAAGTTGGACAGGGAAAATTCCCTTGAAATCCCAGGTTCCCAGCTTTCTCAATTCCCGAGTTACCTAAACTGCAGCCAAAAAATTTCACGGGGCCGTGCGTAGCCACCATGCATAACGGGAGGCTGAATTTGATAAATTCAAGTTGTAGATGAGTTGAGAACATTTCCTGAAAGCTTCAGCTTCCCAGCTTCTCTGGTTCCGGAGTTATTCATTTTCCCGCCAAAAATTTTCACGGGGCCGTACGTGGCAACCACGCATAGCGAGGGACTGAATTTGATAAATTGAAGTTGTAGATGAGTTGGGAACATTTCCTGAAACTTTCAGCCTCCCAGCTTTCTTGGTTCCCGAGCTAGCGATTTTCGCTCCAGGAACCCTCAGGGGGCCGTACACTGGGAACCACGACCCCCCGGGGCTGAATTTGAAATCTTTGAGCTCTACTCGGACTGGAAACATAATCCCAAAAATTCAGCTTTCTAGCTTTTCTGGTTCTCGAGTCGGCGATTTTCCCGCCACAACTATGAGGCGCTCCTACGCGGGGCCTAGACGTGCTTGAGGGTTGGTACCGCGGTCCTGGGGTGGCACTTGGCCGGGGAACCCACTCGCAAAATCTTGACGCCGAAGCTTGCTTGGGTGTCGAGTTGAAATACCCGGACAGACGCGCACACACACACCACACACACACACACACGCACACATACACACACACGCACACATACACACACACACACACCGGGGCCGTCACAATATGTCTTTTTGCATATTATGCAAAAACACATAATAAAGGTGGATTTATGTTGTAATCCTAGTCGAAATGCGTCGTGTCTCTATAGGACGAGGCGAAGTAGACGTTACATTGGACAACCACAGTAGTACAACACGAGGGAAGAACAGCGAGAAATATGTCAAAGGGAGCTCCTTCTTTAGGATGCTGTTAGCGCCAGCTGGCGCATACCAAGCTGGCATGCTGAGGCGTGTTCGACTTGTCACAGCACATTACCAACATGACACATTCGTGGTGGGAGTAGAACAGTTTGTTTT